AGCAGGAAAGTGAACTAAGCACCATATTCATCAGCAAAGGGGATTTCCAACCAAGTTATTATCTGCTTTCCAAATTTTATATTTAAGGCACACTGCTGTGAATCACTGCAGTAGCTGTCATTGCCAGCACTCTTTGTAGATGGCAATCTCTATGCACTGTGAATATTTATTGTAATAATGCAAGACAGTCATTTGATAATCCTAGACTTAGTACTATGTATCCAGTATAAAATAATTTCCTATAGTCCTGTTGCATTATTTTCCTCTCCTTTGCTTGTTAATTTAGGGAACTGCTCTGAATTATTCAAGGGAAACAATACAATCTATTTGATGTGGCTAAGCAAGCCCCATTCTGTAATGTTCTTTTCCATTTGTATTCTGCTTAAGTAAAAATTGTATCACACAGGTAAACACAAGTTGCATGGAGGACAGAGAATCCTTTGGAGATTTTACATATTAGACAGTTTTATTTTTAATTTTCTTCTGAAGAAAATCTGTCTCTACACCATTGTGGCAACCAATACAGAACTTAAAATTATGCTTTTATTGTAACCCTCCTAGAAATTCTTGCAAGAAGCTTCTCAGGCATAGAAATTCACCTCCATAAAATCCAAATGCAGACTGATCCTGCAGTGAGCTCTGCTAAGGCAGATGCCTGCACCTGAACAGAGTCCTTCAGACTTAAGAGCTGAAGTACTATTGCAGAGGTGTATCCACTCACAAGGCAGTGTTGAATCAGAACCTAACATTTAAAGAAGTTCAACTAAGGGGACACACGCACACGTCAGGCACAGAAGGTAAATGCTTGCTCCACCTAGAAGGGGGCAAGCAGCAGCATAGCATAGCCACCATTCCCAGCGCTGCCGTGCCCACATCCCACACCCCTCTGCCCCAGCTGGACAAGCAGCCACAGGGCAGAGGCCCCACTCCCAATGCTGATGAGCCTGTATCCTGTGCCCTACCCATGCCGTCTGGCAAGCAGCAGCAGTTCCACCTCCCCCGCCCATGTCCCTGTGCTGGCTGGTAAGCAGAAGCAATGCCCCCCGACTCTGCCCTGGCTGGCAAGTGGCTGCAGGGTGGAATCCCCTCTCCCAGCACTGATGTGGGTGTGGCAGTGCTGGGAAAAGGGGTTCTGCCCTGCTGCTGCAGCTCACTCCAGACAGAAGAGGGTAAGCAGCAGGGCAGAGCCCTCACTTCCAGTGCTGCCGCACCCCATCAGTGTGCCACAGCAGCCGGCATGGGGGTGGGGGAAACTGCCTCTGTTTGCTCAGCCCGCATCTCAGCCCCCCACCCCAGCTGGGCAAGTGGCAGCAGGGCACAGGCCCCGCTCCCAGTGCTGCTGCACCCACATTCCATGGCCCCCTGCCCCAGCTGGGCAGCTTGTCCCAGCCCCAATCCCTCCCTCCTCCATGCCCCTTTCTTTCCCAACCCCAGACTTACCAGCTGGAGGCAGCTGTGTCAGCTGCCTGTTAGTCTATGGAGGAATCTTTCAGATCCAATTCAGCTGAATAGAATCAGGACAGTGATTCGAATCTCCAAATCTAATCACTGGCCTTCAAATTGGCTGAGTCCAAAGCAAATTCTTGCTGCTTTGCACAGAGCTACTACCCAGTAGGCATTTGCACTGAGGAAAAGGCTACACTAGAATAAAATTGATTAGTGCTGCAGACACACAATCTGTAAACAGGTGTACATTTACCCATGATTTACTAAGGGATAATTTCACTCAGAATGGAATGACTTAAACTGGTACGGGGTATGATATACATCTCATTTACATTTACACTAATATACAACCAGACTGCACTGATGCATGTGTATAGGCTATCTTTATGCATTAACAACAAAACCCTAAAAAAAACCCAACACATCTTTTAAATGGCTAGGTCTGGATCAACAGTGATTTATTCATGCTATTCCATTTAAGGAATAGCATGAATAAATGAGAAACACTGGAAACAAGGGCTGAGAAAAAAAATAGAACAGTTGTAGAATGTATATCATTAGAGCTTTTTAAAAGGAGGCTGGATAGACATCTGTCTAGAATAGTTTAGGAAGAGCAAATCCAGCATCTAGTTGAGCCACTTGAATAGATGACTCTTTCCTTCCCTTCCACCCCTCATGTGATAATTCCAAATAAAGCAAGCAAAAAAAGAATGAAATATTCCTTTATATACTCAACATTTACTCTGGGAGATGAAGGGGGAGGGATAACCTACTACCATTGAAAAATGCTATGCCTGAATGGCAGATCACAATGTTAACCCTATTCCCATGAATGCTTCATGCCTTCCAGGGGGGGGGGGGGGGGGGGGGAAGGGCACAGTGACTGCCCGCAGATGGGAAGGGCAGTGGCATGGCATCAGCAAATGCTGGCCAAGTGGGGACCACCCACAAGTGGCTGCAGCAGTGTTGGCGGTGAGGGGAGTGGTGGCCAGAGGTTACCAGAGGTCAGCGACTAGCTGGCAGTGAGGGGGACAAGTGGTGACCACCCACAGGCACTGCCTGCGGCCTATTTCAGGGGTTGCACATGCACTCGCGTGCACCCTCTATGTATCACTAATGCCTGTTTCCAATGCCCCCAAACCCCAACACAAAAACACAAAAGCATAAAAACAGGTTTTTTGTTTACTTTCTTACCAGTAAAGAAATCATAATTAAATTTTATTTTTCAGGACTTTGGTTTGCAATGTAGGCAGTATTTTTCCCCACCCCCACACACATCTGTAGTTCAGGTTTTTTTCCATATGCGAATCAATTCTGTGAATGATGTTTGGAAGATTTTGCATTTCAAGATAATCATAATTTATACATAATTAGCATTTTCTCTTAAATCTCAGCAACAATAAATTCTATGTAACCGCCAGAAGCACTGTACTTCTACCGATAAAGTGTTATAATGTAGAAACAATTTGTTTTTAGGAAGTGAAGTTTGAATATACATACCTATTTGTGCATTCTTCCGATTGCTACCTATATTTTAATGAAAGATAGCTTAGTGGTTGGAATTTTTTTTTAAAGTGGTAAATTATTTAATTTTTGGATTGTCATGGGAAAGACTTTTAATAAATTTAACATCATCTATAGTGGCACTACTCTAGAATCTAGTGTTATGGGGCACAGGAGTTGTACTTGTTTATACTTGGATTGAATTTGACAAAGTTAGTTATATGTTCAATTAACTTAAGTAAACTTGTCACTCAAAAGTTTGAAACCAATTGATTAAGTGAATAAATAATCTGTGTTGTGTTCATTAGTATCACATACAGTTTGCATACTAAACAGAGGAAGATAAGCTTGGGAGCATTCTAAATGAATTGCTTGGAAAATGCATTGGTTATCTAATGTTATCTTTCTTTTGGACTGCAGTTTATCTCCTCCAGTTTAATTGACTTTAGTCAAATATCATATTGCCAAAGCCAGCAGTGTTTTGGGAAGAAGTTTCAGCAACTTGATCCACTGTCATCCCATAGAGACCTGATGAGATACCTGAACAAGGTTTGTTACATTTCCATACAGTATTAAGAACCAATATAGATAGAACTAATCTAGTCAACATTATTTTGCGCCGTAAACAATGGCTATTCCGATAACCAAGTCAGAGTTTACCTTATGTTGGTCTTTTTCTTGGTCTTTGCACATGCATGTGTACATGTACATGCAAAAGCACACACTATGGGGGGGGGGGGAAGAGAAAACTCATGCATCTGCAAAATTACCCAAATTCCCATAAATGGAGAATGGTGAAGATGACCCCTGAAAACAAAGTGTGGCACCAAATATTCCAAGAAATTAAATCTCTTACCATTTTATAAAAATCCAAAAAACAAAGAGCGCTTTTATTTTATTTTTTCCATCCAAAGGAAAGTCTCTTTTTGAGCAGCCCAACTCCCACAAAAAATCCCACACACTGTTGCTATTACAAATTACAGACACCATTATGGCATATTTTCTTCTGAATGTCTTTACATATGCCGACACGTGCCAAATCTTTTCTATCCAGGCAGAGTTTATGGCAATGAGAGAACTAATGAATATGTGTTATCACAATAGATAAAATGTTCCAGAATGAACAATTGAATGGAGAAGGGATTACTAATCGGACAGTTTAAAATTCACTATTTTTTTTGCTTGTCTTGCCTAACTGCAATATAAATTTGAGCACTTTGACATTCCCTTGTTTCTAGAGTTCAGATGAAAGCTCACAATATTTTTAAGTGAAACTTTGGAACATTTCACTTGACATTCTTCAAACATTTAAAAAAAAACAACCCACAACAATAACAAAATCACACAAAGGATAACTAGAATGTGGACTGTCTAACCTAGGGCTTAGTTACCCAAAGCACAAGTATAATCTAGACTGGTTCTCCTGAAAGTTAGGGTCTGGAGGAGTCAGGTATAGAACTGTATTTAAAAACCATAGCTGAAGTCAGGATAAGCAAGGGCCAGAAGCTGAAGCAAGAGATAAGGTAAACTAAGACATACCTGGGATCAGAAGCCAAAAACCACAGCTGAAGGTCAAACTAGAATCACAAGCAAGGAACCAAAATCATAACCAGAAGTGCAGATTAGAAAACCAGAGACAGAAGGCTGAGCCTGGCTTCTAAGGTCTGGAAGGAGTAGAGCTTGCTGCCTGTGGCTTCCCTGATTGCCTCACTTAGCGCTGCTGGGACCAGGGCATTGCTCTGGGCTTGTTGCAGGTGGCGCTTGTTCTGGGAATGACACTCGAGCAGGGTAGAATTGGATTGCACTTAGGAAACCAAGTCTGCTTAGTTAGTGTGTGGCTCTTATCTTCTCAAAAGGAGACATTTTCTGTGTGAGCAGTTGAATGAACATTACTAGGAGATTAGAAACCTGTCTCTACTGCAGTGGGAATAAGTATATGCTACAAGTTCTGAAGTAGTAGCAAAGATAGAGGAAGCCCAGCTTGTCAAGACAAGAGTTAAACTAAATGAGAATGGGAATGATAGTGCTGTGAGCAGGGGATGGACTAGATGATCTTGTGAGGTTTCTTTCAGCCCTACTTTCCTATGATCTACCTTGATTTTTTTTTTTTTTTTATTGGGACCCACTGGCTCCAGGGTTACACAGGGAGCAGAACAAGCAGTCTTTGCATCTCAGCTACTCCTACCCAGTTACTCACTACAAGGAAATATTTTTTTTCCATTCTGCCTTTCAGAAACAAGGTATGTACCTTAATCTTTAGTGTGCCGAATGCAAGAAATATGGTAATTCTTGTATGTTCCTAAATTAGACTTAAGTGAAATTTAGGCACTAAGGTACAGAAGGCAAGTCAGAATGACCCTGAGTAATGCGAAAAAGAACAAAGATACCTAAATTTATTAGGTGTATCTGTTTCATCCTCAAATTCCCTAGACATTTATACTGAGGCTTCTGTGACTATACAAAAGTAATTCAGATCAAGCACATAAGCAGTTCTGCAGTTCAGTAGCTGATCCATCTTAAGGGAACGGTGTTATAAATGTAAGTGCAATATGGATTTTCCAGGGACCTGAACATAGTGGAATAGCTAATGATGAGATTCTAAGTCACAACCAATTGGATCTGGCCCAAAATGTATAATGCAAATATGTGCTAGTAGATTATTTGGCTCAATTGCTTAATATCCTTGTAATTTTTGTCCAGATATATTGCCTTAATTCTCCATTTAGGAGGAAACTTTTTACCCAGGGAGGGGAGAAGGGGGAGGGGGGAGTTAATTGTTCAAAAATGACTAAAAATGAAGCCTTTGCTCTGACATATGAGTTACTAAAATGTAAAATATGATATTACAGCAACAAAAAGCTATATTTATACTTATTAAAATTCTACAAGCAAGTTACATTTGCCTGGTAGAAAGGGAGGGGTAGTATGAGGGGCAGTGTTGAAAAATACATCTGCATAGTTGTTTTGTTTTAGGAGTTGAATACCATATGGGGAAATATAGTTTGCCTCAACATTTGGGAATAAGAATTACAGCAGGAACCAACTGACTGAGCTAGCAGGACCAGTTCTTTTTTTATTGAGTAACAGTGGCCCAAGAGAAGCTGTGAATTTATTCATGCTAAAAAAATAATTTGCTGCAGTCTAATAGTGAAATTAAAAATAAATCTAAGCTATGCAAACCAACCAGAGGTGTAATTCGGACATGATTAGCAGCGTTCTTGTCATTTACAGTTCCCCTCTCATACAGGCTTATCTTCCAGAAATTAAATTTAAACCTCACCTGATGAGGAGAGCGGGTAAGAGAAATAGCATGGAGACTATTCTCTGAGATCCGTGTAGACCTACAAGCTGGTTTAATTTACAGTAGCCATGAGACTGATCAAATTAATGAAGACGCTGGAGGGGATTAGTTCTGAGGTAGGAGAAAGGTGAAGGAAAATCACTTTTGTTCAGCCTCCTTCAGATGACCTAAATGGAGCTACAGCACACCTGTGGAGTTATCACTAATATTTTTATTAGGTCTGTGGTTTGAGATGCGTTACATATCCAAAACTAACTATGTGTGTACAAGTTCATGTGAATTTGAGAAGCATTATGTGGGATGGAAAAATGTTTAAAACTGAAAAGTAGGTTTTGATTTTATCTGTTACCTCTTTAAGTCCAACTGTTTAAAAATCTATTCAATGGTTAAAAATACAAGTTTTAATTTTCCTGACAGAAGTACGGGGGCACTTGCATCCCTTCTATGTGAAAAAAGTAATGATGGGCTTGAAGAGCTGTTGATGCTCCTTCCATATCTGTATCAGTAGGGAAACGCTGAGAGAAAAATATCATAGAATGATCAAGAAAAACACAGCATATGGCATTGGCTTTATAAAACACTCTCTTTTAATTGCCAAGAAGTTATATACATATTTTAAATGTATTCTTGCAATGTTTTGGCATTCATTTGTGTAAAGAATGACATCTTAAACAGGGAGCTAATAGTTTATGGGAGAATTATGCTAAAAATAAGAAGAGGAGACTTAGTTCAGAAATTATTGTCAGTTATTATGACAATCCCTAATAGAAGCTATTCAAATATAATTCAAAACAAGTTGTTATCTCAGTACACTTCCCTGGTTTTTTTGGTTTTGTTTTCATTTTCTGCTTTATCTGAAAGCTTGTAGTCATTAATGTTCTCTTGCCTTAAATTAATTTAAGGCAAAAGAAGCTAACTCAACTTCTTTATAATACAGGTAAACAAAAGAATTTTATACCTATTAAAACTATTAAAAATGACCAAATAGGACTCAACAAGCCATGTTTAAATAAATTGCAGCTTTTTTTTTAACCTTTTTTTGAATAAATGAAAGAACAAACATTCTCCATCTATAAAGACCCTTGATTTCCAGAGCAAGCATGCTCAATCTGCATCTAAAAAGATATTATTTACATGCAGCCTAATCTTTAAAGCACCTATGAAATCAGAGGTAGTTTGTTTAAGAAATTGGACTAGGATCCAATTCTGCTCTCAGTGCCCAGAAATAGCCAAAAAGGAGTGAATGCATCCATGACAGAAGTTACTTGTAACAATATTGAAAATAAAAATAACTTTAAGATACGAAGGTCAACCAGAGATGAATTTACTCCTTGATTAGCAATACTACTTGTAATTCCTCCTTCACCAAAAGAGGGCTTTATCAAACTTAATAGGAATTTTGTCATTTACTTGGTGACTTCAGTGGGGCACAGATTCTTTTTTGGGACCTCATTTTGGCGCCATGTCATATTATTCTTCTGATTAAAAGTTGCTTCTTGTGACATTAGGAGCTGCTGCATTGATCACTGACTTGAATTTATTCCCTTAAATTTGGTTCCCCTCTGAAGTCTGTTAATGATTTATTCTCTGTCAGTCTTAATTCTACACTAATTCACCGTTATAAATAGCTGCTGTTTTAGCTGTATTACATCATACTTTGCAAGACCAGAACTTTATCCTAGCATTGGGTATTGTCTGGTATAATCCATTTAGCTACTGTATTTTAGTCCCCTACCTTTTGATGATTCTGGAATCATGACTTAAATATTTACCACTTTCTGTTAAAATGTGCTACAAGAAAGATTATGTATGCAGGAAGTGTGTTGAGAGTTTGAAGATAACAAATGATACATCAAGCAGAGCCTAATGTGGTTTTACTGGAGTAGAAACAGTGGTAATAAATCACCTGCCAATGTTGATAATAAAATACTGCATTGGCCTCCATCAGCCACAAGAGAAAGGTTAAATGTTATTTCTCACAATAACCATGTGGTCTTCATAGCTGACACCTTCAATATTAAATTCTATCGTTAGTTTCTATAGAAAGTGTGATCTTCATAAAAAAAATTCCATTAAGAATAAAGCACTGTTTGCAAACCTCTAATATCCTTGAAATACCTTCATTCACTTTATGGTTATTGTACCACATAAACAGTCTTCCATTGTTGTGTAAAAACAACCTGCTATGTAGAGGGTAAAAGGGGGAATTCACCATCATCAGAACCTCTGATGATTTATTTCAAAGAACTCAGAGCTGTTTTTTGGAGTTCAGCTTTCATGGTGATGTTTAAGACTGGCAGTGTTAACCCTGAACTGAGTTTAAAAATGCCAGAGCCACTGCCATTGCCAGTTCTACCTCTGATTGCACCTGTGAGGTGTCTGTCCAGTCAGGACTGCTCACCATTAAGGCTTCTACCCAGGTCCTGGCTTGGTGCTATGGAGATTGTGGCTTCCAGGTTCCTTCCAGTGACAGCCAGATGGGGGAGTACCTGCGGTGTGAGTGATGCTTCCAGATGGTGTCACTCAGAGCAGGCAAGAGAGCTACAGGAGGAAGTGGCAAGGCTCCAAAGTATCCTCTGCCATGAGAACTTCATAGATTTGATGTTGGAGGAGACCTCTAGGGCTGTGAAGGAAGGATCGCCACAGCTAGCACTACAGAAGGAAGAGGATGTGGACTCCCAAGAAGGTGGAAGCTGGAAGCTTGTGACCTCGATCAGCAAGCAGAAGTCTTCATCTCTACCTGCAGCAGTTTGCTGCAAGAACAGATATGGAGCCCTAGTAACAGAGGAGTAGGAGCTTGTCCCACTGGAGGAGAAGGCCTGTCCAGGCATCCCTAAAGCTGTAAGGATCAAGACCACTGCTACCAAGGGCAAGCACAGGGTGATGGTGGTTGGAGACTCCCTTCTGTGGGGGATAGAAGCATCCATCTGCCAGCCTGACCCATTGTCTCTGATTGCTATTACATACTGCTCATCCATGTGGGCACCGATGACACTGCCAGGGCTGACCCTGATCAGATCAAAAGTGACTACAGGGCTCTGGGTGCAAGGTGAAAGGGATAGGGCTCAGGTGGTAGTCTCCTCAGTCATTCTAGGCAAGGGGAAGGGTCCAGGCAGGAGATGACACATCCTGCAGATCAACGCATGGCTGTGCAGATAATGTTGACAGCCGGTCTTTGGTTTCTTTGACCACAAGGTGTTTTTCCAAGAAGGAGGATTGCTAGGAAGAAATGGGATCCACCTAACAGAGAGGGAAGAGCATTTTCACAGGCAGACTCACTAACCTAGTGAGGAGGGCTTTCAGCAAGGTTTACAGGAGGATGGCA